GCTTGCCAAACTCACAATACTGTTCATCTAACATTAGTTAATGTGTTGACTTCTGCAAGAGGGGTGTGTGCACATGCAGTCCTTTTTATAGTCTGGAGAGGAGCCTAATGACCACCAGCTGAGTGCAATTACCTCCTGAACTTGTGCAACTGTTCCTGACGCCTATTAGCTCTTCGGTGCTGGGCATCCAGGAACAACTCACTGCTGGCGTCCGTATCACTCTCCCTTGTCTCCTCCCCACTGGTCCAAGGCTCAGGCGCCTCCTGGTGGCCAACCAGCCTCTCTGCACCCTGCTCGGTGTCGGAACCCTGTCCAGGGTTTTCTACATCCTCCAGAGCCGACTCAGAGGGCCCCTCGCTGTCAGAGTCTGGTGGCAGCTCCAACGGCTCCTGCTGGGCCACAACATTTCAATGTCTGAAATGATCTCTTTCAGTACTTGTTAATCAAATCAGTAGAATTATTTCAATATGTTGGGGTTTTTCTTGTGTGTTTCCATTTACTGTGTGATTGACCTTGATGGATAGGAGAAAATAACACCAAGAGAGGAAGAAATGTAGGACAAAATGGAAAAAAGTCAAGATGAGTCACAAAGCATCCATACCTTTACCCCATCTTTCCACAAATGCAGAAAAATATTTCCCCATCAAATGCTGCTGATCTGTTGGTCCATTTGCAATTTACTTTTGGTATCACTGGAACTGTTCTCTGGATTATTTCTGAAATAGCTGCCAGTTTACAGAATCAAATTGAAATGTAAAGTACTGAGAAACTATAATTCAATTAATAATGACCAAGACTGACATAATGATCAGATGTTTCCTGCCCTAACAGTGTGCTGTAGATTTCATGCATGACGATACTATTATTACGCTGTAGCGTATAAAAATTAAGGTTAATACACTAGCATGACTGGGGAGAGAAAATTATGCCTGAAAATGCAAAACAAGTATTCAATTGGTAGTAAGAGTATCTATTAACGATCACAGGATTCTTGTAGATCTCCGTGGGACACTTAGCTTCCAATCAAAATCCAAAACAGTAGCTCTGCCAAACAATATTAAACAAAATACTATTAGAAGTCAAGGTCAAAAGGACAGATCATCATAGAAACATTTTTTAAACTATTAATGGATGCAATATTTAATTTCTAGGAAAAATAGGCAATCATTTGAACTGCAGGGGGATTAGGTTCCTTTTAATACAGGGTCTATGCCATGTTTTTATACCATGCTAGATTTCTAGTAGGAAAGCCATTCTTTGTAGAGAGGTTCAAATTTAAAGGAAAAATTCTATAGGACGAAAAGCAATTACTTCTGAAATAAATGTTTATATTAAAAGCGGTTGCTCTGGGTGTAAATATGTACACTTCCATCAGTGGTTGGTTTAAAAAAAAACCCATGTGTTCGTTCTCTCTCTCTCTTGCTCTCTCTCTCTCTCTCCTTCCTTTTGTCTCTCTGTCCCTTTTTTCTTTTTTTCTTTCATCTCTCACTCTTTCTTTCTTTCTTTCTTTCTTTCTTTCTTT